GAAATGTGGGAAAAAGATTCCTTCTGCTGTACTTTGTCTCCGCTGTTTTTATTTGGCATAAATAATTACAGAGGGAAAATAAATGAGAATTCCCTTTCATTGCAATTTTGTTAAGCTTTTATAACAAGGAGAAGATGGATCAAGTACTAAAATAAACCAGATGCAGTCAGGCAAATCCAAATGCCTTGCACAGTTTCATAATTCATTATGCACTCAATTAACTCATAGAAATAACACCTCCTGTGCTCATTGAAAAGTTGCTTTCTTTTTTACTTTGATTGGCTAGAAGGTCTTAAGAAATTTTGGATGGCAACTGCTTGTGGTACATTGGATGGGTTTTACCAACAGTGCAGTAACAGATTCTGATAAAAATTGTGCCCTAAGCACCTGCAGGCTTACCAAGACTTGGTGGGCATTAAAAATGAGCAGGAGAATGGAAGGTAAAAACAGATAACACTGAACATATAAAACTAGTTGTCTGGGGTGTATGGTAGAAAGGATTAAGAAATTAGGGAGGTATCAGGGCTAAGATTGAGACCCTGAACAGATAGTGCATTTTAGGTTTCAGGAGCCTGAGGAATTTACACTGCAGACTATTTCCTAGCTAGATGATGGCCTTGATGATCATTGTAAACATAACTTTGTGCTGTCGTGTTGCGGGTTGTGCTGGAGGTGAGTATTACACCTGAGAAATAAGGCTGGCCTGGGCAAAGGTGAGTGTTACAGGAAAGAGGAGATGCTAGCAGTACCATTATTGCATTGCAGCTGTGCCGTTGTGCTGTTGAATTCTGAAAATTCATCAGTCTTAGCAGTCAGAGGTCTGCTTGATTCTTGAATGATTCTGCTCTTTAAATGTGTGAATTGGAAGTTTCCCTTAATTCACACTAGACTTTTGACCTAATTTTAGCAAATTCTTGGTTGATAAGTATTCTAAAGCATGAACAGTTGAAAAATACACTGCCTTTTTCATTAATGTGAATGTATCTGAGGCTGTAATAATGCTGTAATGTTCTAGTCTGTTGTTCTGTGTTATACAGTTACACTCATATTTGTTTCCATGGCAGTTGATGTTGTGAGATGACTTCCATTAAAACTGTTTTTTAATACTGTTTAAAACTTCCTGCAGATGAAAGCTATTAGAGGTGAGCCAGACAAAGCGGATGAAAAAGTACATGGTATAGCACAAAAAAATAGGCATTCAGATTTTTGTATCCTGCTGATATGTGTATCAGTCTTAAGCTATGCCAAGGGAAATATAGGTTGAATATTAGGAAAAGGTTTTTCTTGGAAAGAGTCATAAAGTTCTGGAATGGTCTTGCGGAGGTGGTGGAGTCACCATCCCTGGATGTGTTTAAAAAAAGACTGGGGGTGGCACTCGGTGCCATGGTTTAGTTGAGGTGTTAGGGCATGGGTTGGACTTGATGATCTTGAAGGTCTTTTCCAATCTACTGATTCTGTGATTCTGTAATGTGTGTGTGTGTTTTATTTATATTTATATAATTTTTTTTATTTTGTTTTTAGAAAATAGGTTTTTTATGTGGAGATCCTAAAGGGGTTTAATAGATTTGCAGCTAGTGAGAATATATTTTATTTCCTTTATCACATCAGAGAATGTTGGCTCTTAGAGTAGTCATTACACTCATGTATCTGCTTTATGTGACTGTAATAATTAAAGTAGTGTAGAATATAGGTCCCAGGGTCCTTATGATGTTCTGAATACTGCAGAACAGAACAGACATGTTTCGTCGTCCCACTCCTTTGGTTTCCCTATTCATGGCATGGCAGTGATAATAATTTGTGTTACAGGTATTAAGCTTTCTGGTGAGCAAATAAGCCATTAATTAGTTGTCAGGGATGGTGTAGTAAAGGTGCAGTGGTGAATTTTTACCTGTTAGGATACATGCATCTTCAGAGTTGCATAAGCTTCTGAAATTGTTGGAAAAAATACTCTGGGACTTAGTGAGTCTTCTTGCTGCTTAGAGTTAGATTAGTTGTAAGAGCAATTCCCACAAATTTAAATCAACACTATACCAGAACTCCTGCAGTTTGTTGACACCTGGAGAGGGTGTGGATAAGTGAAAGAGTGTAAATTAATATAAATCCTTCGGTAGAGTCGGCAGCTGGTTAGTACTGAGGCTTTGGTTATTCACACAGCTCTAGAAATTGACAACTGAAATTCACAGAAACATTTACTTCTTGTCCCATCTTTTATGCAAGAATCCAGGTTAATAAGTGACTTTATCTAGTGGAGGCCTCCCAGCTATCTGTCTGCAGATGAGCATATCTTCTAGTCTCTGGCTAAAAGGAAGTTTGATGATATTAGAAAACTTTTTCTAATGGCTCAGGCATGTGCTGAGAACATGGATCTGCACTTTCATAGCAGTTCATAACACAGCACCTAACTGTCTAAGTATTCAGTGGGTTTCTGAAACTCCATTTTTTTGGAGAATAGTTGTTCTTTTGCAAACCTCCTAAACTCTAGCATCTGCTTGTACCTCTTGCTTGTCTGGCTACTTTTGGTGATGTGGACCTGCTAGCTTGGAGCATGCAGTATTTGGGAGGATTGTATTGATGGCAGTCCGGCCTTCTTTCTGCTGACTGGAAATTGGCATTGCCTAATTGTATACATATTTGACTTTTTGGATGGTGATGAAAGGCATTTCTTTGGTTAGCAGTAATTGTTGTAGTCGGCATCTATACAGCTCATGTTTTTCAACAGTGGCTTAATTTTGTTTTACTGTATTTTATAGTTGGTATTCTAGAGTAATCACTTTCTTTTGTCTTTCGCTTATCTTCTTACTGTGGTCCTGCCCCAACTTACTCATAATCTTTACTTCTAGCAGAATGTACCAAGCACCTTTTGATTCCTTTGTCCAGGGAAAAAGGGTAAGGAAGACTCAGAACAGCATTTGGTGTTGAATTTTTGTCAAATAGCATATTCTTTATTTCTGTTTGAGAGATCATTTCTTCAACATGACATGTTCTCCTTCCTTATCTCTAATCACTAAAAAAGGTTGAAGGAGCTGGCCCCATTCAAAGTCTTAATTTTATATCCTATGTTGTGCAGTTCTTTACCTTCTAATTATAGTATGTTAGCAAATATAGTTCTCTTCACACTGTGTTGTTTGTAGTGTTAAGAAAGAAAAATTTAAATTGAGACTAGATAATTTTTTCATAAATCCAGGTAGCTTCTTTTTAATATATTTCATGCTATTACATAGGATTTTAACAATTAAACTGTAATTATGATTCAACAAGGAGTGTCCGTAATAATATTTGGCAACCACAGCAGAGCCCTGGTTTTAATCTCTCCTTGACTTTCCGCTTTAGATGGCAAGGATTTATTTGAAATGAGTCTGTTTTGCATACCAGATTTCACCATTCAAAACTAAAGCCTTTTCTGTAGTGTGTCTGTTCTGCCTGATCCAGAACAAGTCAAAAAACCCCAATACAAAATTCATTTATTAATGAGTGAGAGAAGTTAGTATGGAGCTATCTTTCTGAAGGCCAAATATGTTCCTGAGCATTTTTCCTATAGCAAGTTTATAAAGTTTAAATTTATTAGCTACTGAAAATAAGTAAAAAATTCTTTCAGTTGATACAGCTATCATATTAAAGACTGCATAAGATAATAAAACATGATTCTGCTGTGCTGTGCAAAGTTGATTTATGATTATACACAACAAATCATTAAGCAATTGGCCAGCAAGGCACTGACACTGGTTAAGGAAAGATTTTGTTCAGGAGATACTTAAAAATGTAGGCACGTGGTTATATTTTGCAATTTCAGAAGACACAGAATGGCACAGATATTCTCTTCTTTATAGTTTGTAAACTGTGCTATTGTTGTATCTATACTCACTCTGGGTATAGCTTCCTAAGAGAATTGCTAAGAGCAAGCAGGAGCTATCCCTGAAAATTTTTTGGGAAGTTTATTTGCTACAAGATAGAATTACAAACTGATGGAAATCATGCATACCTTACCTTTGAAAATTTTCACCTTTTCGTATCCTGTTTCTTGCATACGGAGGTAACTTTGGTTTTTAATATCCTACGCAGACTTTGTTTTTTGCTGATCTGTACTCTCTTTCTCTAGCCAGTTAATATTAGCTTGGAAAATTTCTGGCTCTCTATTTTAGCTCCAGTTGATTTGAAATGCTACAAGCTTGGAAGAGACTTCTGCTTTTGGAAGTCAAGCTTTCTTGAATGTAGAGGTACATCATAGATCTTCATGATCTGATTTTTAATTAAATACTCTGTTGTATACGTTAGGTCAATAGGGGTTTTTTTTGGTTTTTCTTATGTTCTTTTACTTCTGTTTTGGTGGCAAAAGAATGTATCCTGATGAAACAGAAGATTTCATCTGGACACATTTTGGTGAAAATATGTGTGTCTTAATGTTTGCAGTAGCATTTAATTTACTGCACATTTTTGTTTTAGAGTTTCAGTGTTGGGATGCTTTCAGATAAGGTTTTTGAGGTAAAATTCCTCTTTGGACAATAAGCAGAATGCAAAGGAAATAGAAATGGGAATTGGTTAGTTTTTAAACTTTTTAATGAACTTGACATATTCAAACTCTTTTTTCCCCCCCTCTGTACTTCACTTTTTATTTCATAGGTGCACATACAATTCGCAGTCTACAGTTATTAAATTTCTGTCATAATAATTTTAATTTAGCATTTTGGTTTGTTGGCCAAAACATGTGCTGACTGTGTAAACAGAACAGAAGGATCCCCTGGCTTAAGATATAACAAGGGATTTATTTAAGCATTTACATGTTTTCAAAAAAGGCAGTAGTGCTTTGACCATGCTGTGTTTGGTCAAGTGTGAAGGACAGAGGTCCTTTTAGTATGTTTTTAATTAAAAGATTCTTTCTAATCAAAAACCTCGACAATAACTGCTGCGTAGCAAGCAGCTATGGTTAGTTCTGTTACATTGTGCAGGGAAGGGTATGTCATGTTTGTTTGAGTGTCAGAATTTAAACAGTATAGGAAGAGAGAGAATTTTAGAACCCTTTCCCGTGCTGAGGCGCACTGATGTACAGTATATAAACCAAAAGAACTTCCTGTCTGATGAGGAAATAAAACCTTAACTAGAAATACCTACCCATCTCTGCATATGTTAATCACATCCCACACACAGCTGGAGCTTTAGAAGAAAGGCTGGGTAAGTATGATGGGCTTTCCAGCCCTAATCTGACATTTGCCAGATTTCTGATACTTTAACCGTCTCTTTATGGGTTAAAAATTTGTAACAGCACCACCGATGTGATGGTGGTGTCAGTCTGTGTGCAGCTTGTTGGAGCAGGCAGGCAGTGTGCCCTGTGCCTAGGCTTTTTAGTCCCTAGGCCTTTTAGTCCCTAGGCTTTTTGTGCCTTACTTCTGCTATGCAAAGAGTGCCTGGGCAGAAGACAAAGGTTTCTATGACGTGCTTCTGGCACTTGAGTGTGGGGTTTTTTTGTGAAGACACCTGAAAATAGTATTCTGTTGCAGAGTTTAAGGTTTCATTGAAAAGGCAAACCTAAACTATGTGTATTTGGAGTAGTCTGAAAGTTCTTGTCTGCAGTAATGACATCCCTTCTCAGTATGCCTCCATCATGGATATGTCCATTCCAAATGAATTTCTCAGCTGCAGTTCTTTGGGCATAAACTTGAGAGATAAATGGTCTGGATAACAAGAGAGACTTGTCTTGTACTTGTTAGCCCTTACATAATGTAACATAAGGGTTCTAACATTAATATTTTTGTTGTGTTTCAAAAATACTTACAATTTTTTTTTTCTGAAAAATTAAGTTGAAGTCCAGAAAATAAAGGGATCTTTATTTTTCCTTCAGAAATACAAGTACATAGTAATGCCTACAGTGTAAAGGGCATACTTCTGTTCAAATCAACAGAGTGACTGTGATGATTGCCATTTAAGAAAAAAAAAAGGAGCAAGTATTAAGTGTTCTTTTGATGGCTGATGTAATGATGGTGAAACTAGATTTGTGTCCCTAGTTTCTTGCTGTACCCTTTTTTTTTTTTATGCGCTAGAATTTTTTTTCCCAGATGAGCAGAGTTCTCTGTTTACACTGATTTTTGATGGTGGAGGGTAGTGAGTTCTTTCTAACTTTATAGACTATTTATTCTTCATATGGACTTCCTATGTGACATGAATTCTAGCATGTAGATTGACAGAAAGTAATCTAGTGCAAATTAATGCGATAAGTTTACCCTCCTTTTCTTTGTAGCACAATGGCTGAAAAATCAGCAAAACCAGCAAAACGGTTATCCTCAGAATCAAACTCCCATGAGGGAGCTACGGCAGGAGAAATAAGTGCTCTGGAAGAGGCCTTTAGAAAATTTGCCGTCCATGGTGATACGAGAGCCACAGGAAAAGAAATGCATGGGAAGAACTGGTCAAAGCTATGTAAGGACTGCAATATCATAGATGGGAAGAATGTGACAACCACAGATGTTGACATCGTCTTCAGTAAAATCAAGTAAGTTCATTTTAGCCATAATTTCATTGTCTTCCCTCTCCCCGCCCTCCCCCTGCCACCGTGTTTTATAGATACCATATACCATTACTTTCTGTTGCTTCTGATGTTGTGAGACACTATTTGACAAAATCAATCTCTTTCTTGTTCCTTTACAAAATTTTCTTGCTTGATCTGAAAATACAGCTTTCAGCTTCTGACCTACTATCTTAAATTGACTTCAGTTTCACAAGTGTTACACTATACAAAGACTATGATGTGATCAGGATAAATGCAGACTATTCCAATAAACTGGTCTGCAGTAAGTGCTGTTAATATTTCCTGAAAGATATCTGAATGAAGTCAGGATGTCAGGATGATCTTGCCAAAGCTTGGCCTCAGAGGACGGAGGCTTAGGTGGGATATGTACTAAAAGTCAGTATTCTAACAGTCATGATGTCCAGCACAACACCAGCTCAGTTTTGAAGTGTAGGGCCATGCCAGACTGATGATGACCCTTGGCTATGATGAATTATGATTATCTTGGTCATCTGATCTTATTTTTGTGACTGGAGCTTTAGTGAAACTGTCCCCAGTTGAAAACCTAGGCAGGCTTACTCAGAAACTTGTCAAATCTAAGAGAAGTTATTAAAGGAAATATGTTAACAAGTAAGTAATCTGTTATGGCATGTTCTGGATGAAGTCCCAAATAATTTTTTTGGTTTTGCTTTATGTGTAGAGTTGGATTATTTTCGCCTTTCATATTCCCATGTCATCTGATATGACAATCTTGTCTTTTCTGGTTTTTATTACCACATTAATTGTTCAAATTGTCTCACATGTCGTTGTGTTGTGGGACATACTTTTTAAAGGGGTCCCTTAATTGTACTTGTAGCCTGTAGGAACACTTACTTGGCTTGTGCACTCAACTGTTGGGGTGTAATGCTGGGAGAACATGCGAACTGCATTGCTTGCAAGGTAGTTGGAAAATCTTGCTACAAGCACTGACCATTTAGACTGCATCAAACTGGAGAGAGGCAGAGAAGAAAAGACCTTTAATCTTGAAAGTTGTCTGTGTAACATATATAGTTAGAATGACCTTGCTTATTTGATTGATTTCTCTCTTTGTTTCTTTTCTCCTTGAGGGTCTTATCTATAGGGATAACTGAAAACACTACATATGCACACTCCCACCCTCTTGTCCTTGTTTCAGTCCCTACTTGAATGAAGTTAGAGAGCTGGCTTATTTGAAATTTTCTTTGACTTTCATCAGCTTAAAATTGTTTTATTATTTCCTGTAGATAAATATAATCTTAGTGGTACTTTATCATATAAGTTTCTGGACTCTGTAGTGACAGGATGACCCCATCATATGGCATAAACAGATGTACAGCATTAGCAGATATAAGGAAGTATCAGGTTTGGTGACTGGGGCAGAAAGAATCCCATCCTGTTGTGCAGGAGTGAATTGTAAGGTGGCAGGTACCTGAGCCTCCTGGGGAATGTTAGCAGATCCCCTTGCTGCTGTTGAATGCTCCCAGCTCAGCGTGAGAGTTCTTGTCTTTTGCCTCTTGAGGGGGAGGGCTAGCTCAGCAGTTTCTCAGACCTCGCTGCTGTGACCACTGTTAGGTGTTGTTATTTCTCTTGGAAGAGGCATACCATCTTTTCCTCTATCCAGTTGTCCTGGTTTAACCTCAGCCAGTGGCCAAGCTCTGTGCAGCCGCTTGCTCACTCCCCCACCAGCAGCACTGGGGAGAGTATTTAGAGTAAAAGCTGGAAAACTCACAGGTGAGATAAAGACAGTTTAATAGGAAAAGCAAAAGAAAACAATAAGTTAATTCAGTGCTTTCCATGGGCAGCCTGATGTTCTGCCATCCCCAGGAGAGCAGAGCCCATCACATATAACAAATTGGGAATACAAACACCATCACTCCAAATGTCCCCCCCCCTTCCTCCTTCCTCCCTCCACTTTATTTACTGACCATGATGTCGTGTGGTCTGGAACATTGCTCTGGTCAGTTGGGGTCACTCCACCTTTCCTGGCTGTGTCCCCTCCCAAGCACCCCCACATTCATTGCCAGCATGGCAGTATGGAAAACAGAAAAGGCCTTGGCTTTTCTGGATGTGCAGAAGTCCTGCTCAGCAATAACAAAAATATCACTAAATTGTCAGCCCTGTGCTCAGCACAAATCCAAAATACAGCCCCATACCAGCCATTGTGAAGAAAATGAACTCCACCCTAGCCAACACCAGCACTCCAGTATTTAATAGCTTAGTAGATAACTGCATCAAATGCAAAAGTATCTTAGTTTTAATTGTTTAATTTTTGTTAATTCCTCAACCGGTACATATAACATATATTTTATGTATTCTTCTCTTTTAAAATTATTTTATTTTTAAATTATATTGCATAAGTGGCATATGGGAGCTGAGATTTGCTGTCCTTATTAGGAAGGTCTGTATTTTTTGAATGTATGCTTTCAGTAAGTATACTTCCACATTTTCTTAACTGTTAGGGTTTTGTGAGTTTTTTACATTTTTATTCTTGAGTGCATGTGTCAGCAAGTCTTTTTCATCTAGATCACATTTATTTCACATACAATATTTTAAGTTTTAAAAAGGGAAGATCTAATAGCTATAGGGACTCAAGTATCAGTAATATACTTTAACTTAGGAGGGTTAAGCATAAGCTGGGCATACAGGATTTGTTGAGCATGTTCAGACGGCTGTTTTTCCTTGCTTTCTCTTTTACTTCACATTTAACCCTAAGCTCAAGGCAAGGATAATGATAGATTTGGGAATGCATCAAAGCAGGCATACTCACATAATAAACTCACACTCATTTTTATTTTACAAGCAGCTCTTTCCCAGCAGAGCTCTTTGGTTTTTTGACAAACCAAGATTTTCCCCATCTATGTTAAATGTAAAACCTTAGCCACTATAGAAGAATCTCCAACTCCCTCCAAAAGTGCGAAGTGCAACTTCCATGTTTCAATAAGAATTCTCCTTATGGTTACCAGAAGGCTTTGTGCATCACTCTTGGTTTTGGGCTCTTGAGCTAAAGTTGTGTCTCACAAGATTAGCCTCAGCCTGGGATTCTTATGTTCAGCCAAAGTGATGGTTCAGTGGGATGTGGCTTGTGGATTTTAGCAGTTGTAGGCTAGCCAGGGAGCACAACAAACATTTAAAATAATTGTTTGCCAATGTTTGTCACCCAACTACAATTGCCATCTAGCATTGTGTTAGAACTTCCAAACATATTTTCTGTTAGTTCTGTTACTGGGAAGCTACTGTACCTAGCAGGGTTGTTTTCTAGCAAGCTGTACTTAAGAGTTTATGACAATGGCACATGTTGTTCAGACACTAGAAAATAATTAATCTAATAGAAATGTTCTTTGGATTTATGAGTTACTATGTATAAAGCCCACATTTGTTGTCTTGCTAACTTTCCCAGGCTTTATTTATTATTCTAGTAGATACTGGCAAAATAGGTAGGAACTAAACATTGCAGATAGGGTAAAGTAACAAGGAAAATTAATAGGAGATATGTTTACTTAAGAGCTACTGAAAGATAATGTTTTATTCACTAATTGGCAACTTGCTCTGCTCCAGGAGAAATTTTACCTCTGAAGTAATGAACATTTTTGTAGACTTAACACCCTTTCTCCACCTCTGCCAAACCCAAGTGAACAAAACTCCTGAAAGTTTTAAATAGTCTGTGATACTTCTTGAAAGCTGGGACCTATGTGTCTGTCTTTCAGAGATTAGTTCATTTGAAGTTTAGTGGTGTTATAAAGGTTGAAGAAATTCCATTGAACCTTTGTTACAAATAAGAAAATAAATATGGAATGCATGAGAATGTCAGGTCAGACTGAAATGTAGTTTGTCTGTTTATCTTGCATAAAAGGTCTACTGAAGGCCTTCATGTGAGCACATTTATATGTATTTGAGGATAAGAAGAAGGACTAGTCTAATGCAAAGAATCCACAATAGCAGACATGAAAGAATTATTGCTAGAATTGCATTCTTTGGTAAGAAAATATGTAAATTGGGTGATCTCTCCCCTGCTCCCCCCAAATATTTTTGTGTAACAGTTATTTGTAGGGTCCCACAAGTCCTTCCAGCTTGGTGGATTATAATACAATTTTATGTTTGTTAAAATTGTTAGCTCAGAACATACAAGAAATGCAAAAGAATTTTGCAGTGGAATTACTTGAAATGAAAAGCTGAAGCCTGCCTATAAGAGTAGCCATATATATGAATATTTATGATTTGCTTCTCTAGAGAGCAGAGTTAAAACACCTACGTTTGTGCTAAATATTTGGATTGCATTAATGCAGTTGGAACAGTGTGCAGTTTCTGTAATTAATAGGAGGGTACACTTTTCTTATTTTTTTAGGTTACAAAGCTTACAATAAAGCTAGCTCTTATCATGTCATTAACTTTCCATGAATCCTGTACTTGGAAGAGCAAAAGAAGTTGTGAAGAGTGAATGACAAAAGTTCTACCATATCTTATGGGATGAAATCTGTTAAAAAATGCACCAAAGCCAACAGAAGCGTACATAACTGTAAATGCAATTATGCAGTAAGCTTTCTTTTTTGTAGTTTCATGGTCAACGTCTGAGATGTTGTACTCCGTTCTTCATATGTTCCTTGGACTACATAAAACAGTAACACCAGTTACAGGGTAAATTTTAATTTCAAAGCTAGCCTAAAGTTACTTGCTTAAAGTTATGTGAAAGTCCCTTCTGCTAACTGGTACCAGGAAAACCTTTTTTCTGTAAATGGCAAAGGAAGCAACCTCTTCTCAGAAAAAAAGGCTTACGGAATTGTTAAAAAAAAAGCCTGAAAATACTTCCTAGGAAGTGATTTTTTTAACTGGTCCATAAATTCACTGCCATACTTGAAGACAAAGAATAAGTCACAGTCATATTCTGTGGGAAAGGTAATTTTCATAAATTACTGTAGCTGAAGTATTTGTGACAGGACCAAAACTAGTACTCCGACTTCTTTTATTATGAT